CTGTATCATGTGGCAGCTACAGACAGACGAGCAGGCACATTGCAAGGGGTGCAGTGGAGGTGGCGGCTGCGGGCACACGAACCCCCATAGCAGGAGGCTGCTGGGCTCCAGGCCCACTGGCACCTCCAAGCTGGCTCAGGCAGCCTCAGGCCCTAAGGACTCATCCCACATGGCCAGTCCAGCTGCTAAGGTGCTCACCCACAGCTGCAGCAGCGCCCCCATGCCACTGCCTGGCCAGCCGCCACCTGTGTGCATTGGGCCACTGCTGTCACAGAGCTGCAACTGACTGGGAAGGGCCCTGCCCCCATGGCCCAGCCCAGGCCAGCCCCGATATCCACCCACCTCACCCAGGGCTGAGCTGGGCCAGTTGCAGAAACTGCTGAGAGTGGGTGTGGAAGGGCCAGTCCAGGCTGCGGGGTCAGGGCCCTTCCCAGCTGGCTGCAGCTCCATGACAGTCCAGCCTGGCCTGGGCATGGGGAGCCAGAAGCATCTGGGCACATAGCTCTCACAGCCCCAGCCCAAGCCACAGCCGGCTGGGAAAGGCCCTGTCCCTATGGCCCAGCCTGGGTCGGCCTCTCCATGCCTTCAGCAATGCCTGTGGGTCAGCCCCACTCAGCCCCACAGCCCCAGCCCCAGCCATGGGTGAGATGGGTGGATGGCAGGGCCATGCCAGGTGGCTCTGGCCAAGCCCCCCGCCGCATGAGCAACCAGCAGAGTAGAAAGCCAGGCATACCCCAGCTAAGGTCCCTGTACTTGTGGGAGAGAGGAGAGACAGGGGAGTTTAATCCCCTCCCTGCCCCTGCTTTACCTGAGGCTGCTGGCCTGGCCAGCTCTGGTGACACACCTGCCCCTGCCACTGCCACTGTAGCATTGGTGGGGGGGGACCCTGACAGGGGCTGCTCTTCCCTGGCCAGGCAGACCACAACTACAGTTCCCTGGGAGGAGAGGGGAAGGAAGGGGAATAAACCCCCTCCCTGCCCTTCGCCTTAGGGGGCCATGCCAGCCAGCATCTGGCCACATGCCCGCCCTTGATCTGCTAGAGATCAGAGGGGCAGCGCCAGCCCTGCTTTTTGGAGCAGACCGCATAGCCCAGTCCAGGGCTGAAAAGCATGCTGGGATGCTGTGGGACTCTGGTTTAACTTAAACCAGAAAGGGGTCTGGGACAGAAGTTCCATATACTGCTTTGATCCAAATTAGTTAAGTCTGATATACTACATTCAACCAGGTTTATCTTAAACCAGTTTCAGCCATTTTGAAACTGGTTTGTGTGAACTGAACTTCGGCTCTGTTACAGGTTTAAACCAGTTTCTGATCACTTAAAGAGGCTGTGGATTTGGTTTTGCAAGGGCCTTGCATTGACTACAGTTAAAATCAAGGACCCTCAACATCTCCAAAGAGGTAATTTAATGGGGATGTTTGTCTGGGTAAGGAACACCTTCTGGAGACTGGGCCTTAACCTTTAAACATGACAATAAATTATTAGACAAAGCCCTTTATTTTCAGCATCTCTTAACTTTTGTTATATTTCTCCTACTTTTTCTCTCATTCCTCAAGGGAATGGTATACTGTATTCACATACCACTGTGTGGACTGAGTCTTAGTAATACCTGGGGGAAAAGTTATAAAACTGCGAGCAATATATTGAATGTGCTGTGGGGGACAAGCTAACAGAATTTTTGGAGATTCAGGGCTAGATTTAAATATAGTCCTGTGCCTAGGGCCCTCACTCCTAGCATCATGTGATGATATCAGAATCTCAGCTATCATTAAAAGAAGAAGATTTCTGTCTCTCATCACAGATGTGGAGAAAAGCTTGAATGTAGGTGTATCTGTGGCCTGCCTGAGTGTGCAGATTGCCAGAAACAATATTTCTAAAAGAGGTAGCTTGCCCCGTTCATCTTAATCCTGAAAGCTACTGTTCAGAAGTCCACCCACTACCACCACCACAGGACTCCTATCTGGGGACCCCAGTTCTACTCATATAGTGTCAGCAAGGGATACCTCACACAAGGAGTCTCCTTCCATGTCCGTGGAGGATGAATCCTCTCTTCCTTGGGAAAGACCTCAGTCTGGCAGTCAATCCACCTCAGGACAGCAAAGGTGCAATGTGGTAAAAAATAAACGGTGACAGGTCCCTCCAAATGACACTCCTATTACAGGTGTCACTACACATAATCACTGTATGGGGTTGCTGTGTGGAGGGAGAACATCAGTGTGCCATGGGTCTCCATATAGTTTGTCTTGATTCTCTTGGGGTGCTTTAATCCAGCTCTGTGGAAGTTGGAGGCTCTGTAAAACTTGAACTTCTAAAAAACTACAGAGCTTAGTACACTATAAATGAACACTACGGAGTTTAGAAGCTTAGATGCATCTCAGACCCTTGTTTGAATCACCTTGATGCAAGTCCAAGTAGTTTTATTAAGCATCATTGAATGAATAGATTTGAAATTACCTTGGGTATCTTCTTTTTTTCCCCTCTTATCTCATGACACTATAGGCACTTAAATGGATAATGTGGTGTTGCCTTGGAGACAGAGTATGGAAATGTAAGGCTATTTTGCAAACTGAAATATTCACATCAGGCAGTATAACTTTGCATATTTCAGCAAATAATTGAGTATAAAAGTTTACAAAGCTCTCACAAGGAAATCACATAAAAACCATGGTCAGATGTTCAAGACTTGCATGACCAAGGAGTTTTGCAGCTGGTCGATAAAATGAAATGGAAAGTCAGCTGGTCTCCCGTTGTTATAACAACAACCTGTTATGTTTCCCAGGCAACTGAGATGCCTAAAGTCTCTTGGCATCTGTGAATCAGGGGGTTGTTTTCCTCTTTTACTGGAATAATTTCTGAAAACTGCAAAACTTTTTCAATCAATTGTACTATGTAGTTTTTTTGGAAGCAGTGAATTCACTTCTTCCATGGTTACAAAATAAAGCACGGGTTTTTGCATTAAGCAGCATGATTCTTTGTATGCTTCTCAAACTTAACAGACTTGTAAACTAGTGTAAGTGTATGCATGGGAAAGAGGGAGAACCCAAAACTTCCTTCATTCTCCTGACTCAGATGCTATTTCCTTTCAATTTCAGCGGCTGGCTCATACTCTCAAGACTGAATTGGCAAACAATCAGTTATGTATAACATACCCATGGGGGTAGTTTGTTCCTAAGTACCAGTTACTGATTAGCTGTGGATGGGTGGAGTTTCTTAGTATTTAACAAGGACATCCTTTTAATGATGCAACCATATAAAAAAGCCCAACAGAATCAGGAGTGACCACATAGTAGTCCTGTGTTTACAGTGACATCCTTAGCAGAATAAAAATAAAATGGTAATAATAAGATTTGCAGGCAAACCCCGTCTCCTTCATCCTTCATAGTGATTGCATCCATGAATTATTTATACTGAATATTAATTTGGTGTATGCATTTCTACACTCCTGGTGGCATCATGCATCGTCCCTTGCAGCAACTGAACTGGCACAGTGTGAAACACGCTCTGCAAAGGTATCTCAGTTGGCCTTGCAACACCCTCTCACGCAGGGCATTGAGATGTCCAAGCCCCTGCCAAAGGGGCGTTGTGGGTAGATGTTAATAATTTTTTCCCATTCACTTTGTCTGTGTCTTTCATTTTTCAATTATTACATTCAGCCATGGTTGCCTTCCCTACAGACTAAGCATGACATGAATTTCTAATATGAAGACAAGTACAAATAATTAAATAAATAAATTGACAGCCCCCACATTTTCATATCTTCTTCACACTTCAATAAAGCAATCACACATGGGCACAATTTCAAATATTGCTCCTTTACAGAATAACTTGAACAATGAAATGCTCTTTTATAGTTCTGGTTCCTCAAAATTGGGGAAACAGCCAACCTTGTGGGGCCAAAGGCTTAGCCCTGTGGACAAGAATATTCTTCTTTCCACCATTACATGCACATAAAGAACAATGCTCAGAACTCAGAGTAAAAGGTTATGGGTAGGTAGAAGTTAGGGGAAAATGAAAGGAGGAAAGCCTTCTCTTGAAAATGGCTGTGGGGTGTTGGGTAGGTTTAATGATACAAATGTGTGGTCATCTGAGCAAGGAGCTCTTGAGATAAAGTCCACACTAAAAACAAACACATGCAGCCAGATGTTAGAGTCCTTTATACCTTATTCTGTGCCCTCCTGTTCTTCAACTCTAAGCCCAGCAGCACCTACTCAGCAACAGTTTCAACAACTTCCAAGCAGCCTCTGTTTCTTTGGTGAAGCAATGTCCAAAAAAATATTTAGGCATGCAGATAGAACTTGTGATGCAAATTTTGGATCATTTGATTAAGCTTTTCCCCAGTAGATACATTTTGCATAATGAGGTTATTTCAGATACTGGGCTGACATAACAGGACCAGAAATATATTTCTTGATGCATATTTGGAGTCACTTAATCAAAGGGTTGCTCAGGTGCAGTCCCCAAAGTAAGCCCCAGCCTGCCCTAACAGGCATTCTATCATTTCCTTCCCAGATATGAAGATGTGTTGGGCCAAGTTGTGCAGAAAGACTTGTGTGATTGCAACAGTCAAATGCTAAGCAATTCCCACCATCAAGCTATGTCAGAAAGCAGTTGTTGCTTCAGGGCTAAACACACCCGCACAAGAAAGGAATCTTCTTTTCCACACCTTATCATCCACACCTTATATAATGCACTCCCAGTGCCAAGACTCCAGCCCCCCATAAGGAACATCCTTCCTCCTACAACAAATAAAGAAACTTGCTATACGCACATCCCTTCAATTCATTATAGCACCAAATCTTATGTTTTGGCTTCTGCAAGACTAATGTATTTATGCCCAATACGCATGACTCGGTTACATGATTGACCATGGGGAAAACATGCTCACTGCCTTTTAGGCTTTAGAAATGTGTTTCATATTCCTGCTGGCACTGCCAATTTGAAAAGCCTTTTTTGGCTTGTCAGATTGGGTTATTATCTGTTGGTGAATCACAGTTCTATGGATTTAGCCAGCTACCCAGGCTCATAAACCACTCATGGGTCATTAGTTTTGCGGTTGGTCCAGAGGGGTCATTTACACTGGCACAATTATATAAATATATGACTCAAGGCAACCACTTGTATTAGAGTTAATTGGAAATTTGGGGCCCAAAATAATTTTCTATTAGGGAAAGCTACAATGGAGCAATATTCATATGTATACCTGTCTGCTTCAAAATATTTTGGTGGTCCATGAGACATCTGGCTACATGACTTTGCATCCTGACCTGACTGGATGCTCTCTTTACTTGTGTGATCTCTTTTGCTCAGGAGTCCTGAAGACTACACATTTTCTACTCCTTGTTTAAAAGCTGGCATGCAATCAGATTTTGCATCTTTGCATTTGGGCTCCTGGCACACATTCATTTAATGGTGCAATAGGAACCATTCCCTGATGCCAACAATCACACTGCCTGGAAGGCCACATGTGTATGGCAGGATACGCAATTTTGGGTTCAGGGATCAGATCTCAATCCCACAATTACTATTTGTTAGATCCCAGGCTCCCCCTGCACTGGCAAATGGAAATCGGGACCCAGTGAATTGATGAGGTCCTGGGGCTCTGACTAACAATTAGCTAATCATGTGTTCCATATTTGGGACTGCAGTGGAGTCGCCAGCCAGTGATACAGCACTGTAAAATATACATTCGTTTCTGAAATTGAGTGCCACTCAATTCACAAAAGTTATGCAGGGGTCTTGAGTCCAAAAAAGGTTGAAAACCACTGTCAGTCATGTGGCAGTATGGCTACACCTCTGATACCCCTGCACTATGCCTGTTCACCATATTTATAATTGGACCTGTACAAAGGTTCTAGACCTCTTCACCCTGTGGGGAGAGGTGCAGGAAGTCATTGTGGTGAGGCACAAATAGCAGGACACTTAGGAGGGCACTGCATTGTGTTGACTGCATGGTACCTCAGGAGGGATGCCAGGCAATGCCATATCAAGGCAAAAAATGTGAAGATGGCTTAAAAGCAATTCAATGCCAGAAACTGTACCTCCAGCAATACTCCATCAATTTGCCCATATGACAAAGACTAAACAGTATTCTACCAGAGCGTGCTAGTGTGGAATCCCATTTCATGTCAGATGCAGAAGGCAACCTAGAGAATGCCAAAGACAATAATACGGATGAATTTTTCCAAGATGACAGTCACACCTTGCAGAAGCTGGATTAAAAACACACACAGGGCTACCCAGACGCCCCCTCCCTAACCCCCACCAAACCGGCACTCACATTGCCAGCCAGCATGATGCTCCTAAAAATATTCTTGCCTAGCTGATGTTGTTAGTGATTGCCAGTGCATCTTAAAATATATATCTAGCGTTTCTTGTGTTTTATTGGTGCAGGAGGGCACCAAGACAGTTCTGGATGCTGCCATCTTGGGCTGAGGCCCAGGTGTAGCCACAGCAATTTAATGCCTCAGCATGCCAGCAAGCTAGAGAGGAAAGCTGGGGAAGAACTTGCCTTCTCTGGGGGTTCTCAAAATTGGAAAATAGGCTGTAGAAATTTAATCTTAAAATGGTAGGGTGAAAAACAAAATGTTATTTATTTGCCGCTCTGGAAAGAGAGCAGTGACTAATAACTGCTTGTCATTTTTCACCTGATAGAGCTGGCAGTTGCAAAGTCAGGACTCTAAAGGACAACAACACTAACCATCATTCAATGTCTGCTAACTTGAGGGTAAAGAAAGAGAGCCAAGTAGATATTCAGAAGTCCTCTGTGAAGTGTAGAAGGGTAGCTCATTAATAGGGGCCTACCCAACTCATGGAGGTGGCCAGGTGATTTCACAGCAGATTGCAGAGCCAACTGTAATGCTCATGGGCTTATTGTGGTGGGGACCCCAACACCTCTGAGTGGCCCCCTCCCCAGCTGCGGACTGGTAGAGCGGACTATCTGTTATATGGCCCATCCCTCACCACTGACTGGCGGAGACAAGCAGCCTAAACCAACCGATTAGTGGTGAGGGACTGGGGGAGGCAGTCACCTTACCTGACCCTCAAGTTACCTGCTTGCCTTTGAACTCTAAAGGAAATCAGCAGCTCCAACTCCCACTGTGGAGCCAGCATTTTATTTCAGTAAGGGGGGTGGGGTTTTTGGCTTTTTTTTTGTTTTGTTTTTTTCCCCTGCGGATTTCACAGAGATCATCCAATTTCATGATTTCCATGAAATCCATGCAATTGCAATTTGAGTAGGTCCCTACTTATTAATGAAGGCAGTCTATGGGACAAGAAAAGCTGAGTGACAGAGGAGAAAGAAAAGGAAAGAAGACATAAGGGTCACTAAGGAGAGAGCAGAGAAAAGATTCAGTTTGACCTAGGAGGTCGTTTCAAAAGGACCTCAAAATGACAGAAAGGAACCTGGTTGTTACTGCAGGGACAAGCAGACACAAAGATCCAGCAAAACCTCATGGGTCTTATGAACAGCCAAACATTACTGCTGGATATTCTCCAGTTTCCACATGTCTTCAACCTCTACTCATTTTGTATCCTGAAGCACACCCACCTGCTGTACAGTCAGCCAATTCCAGAGCTACAAATACTGGAGAGCACATGGTACTGGAAATGGGCTTTTGCCAATAGCCCCAACCACAGCTACTTAAAACAACCTCAGAGGAAAACCATTGCCTGTAGGAACTGAGCTCCTTCAGACCCGAATATTTGGGTTCTGCCACAACACTTTGCAAAGTTCTCAAAAGGCCCTAAAAAAGAAAAAAATACTTTCCAACTCTTTGAATTTTCCTCTCCAAACCCTTAAGTTATTAGCTTGTCCCTTTCACCCTCCCCTCTCCCATTTGTACAGTTCAAAATGTTTTAAAAGCTCTCATATTTTGTAGTGGTGCCAGTATTTGTTCTGATTGCAATTTAAGTACAATAAAATCATACGCTTATAAGGGAATGTTATTTCTTACTGTCCACCAAGCAACTGTGTTTTTGGGTTTTATTCCAAAATGCACGATCTTCTTCATGTAAGCCTGCAGGTCACAACATTTGGTTAGGCCATGGACTAAGAGCTAAAGGTGCATACTGTTTAAACTTTATGGATCATACATGACATGGCAGACCTCACAGTCCATCACACAGAATTTTCCCCCATTGACTATGCACTATTTGACTTAAAAATTCACGAGAGTCCACAGAAAATACAAAACCCACAGCCAAAAAACCACAAGTAGCATATTGAAACTATTTGAGCAAATTTTGGAGAAAAGAATAATTAAAGACAAAGAGATACATTGAAAATGGGATAAAATGCAATATGGGTTTACCATAGTTGGGTAGTGCTAGGCTAACCTGATAGGTTTCTTTAATTAAATAACAAATGTGTTAGGCTAAGAAAACTTGATAGTTCTCATCTACCTGGGCTTCAGTAAAACACCTGATGTGGCACAACATGGGGGCTTATTAGCTAAGCTAAAGAAGAAAGGGATTAGAAGGAGGCTTAGGTGGGGCTTGGACTAGATGACCCTTGAGGGTCATTCTAGGATTCTATGATTGTTAGGAGAATGAGAAACTGGCTAAAAAGGGAGATGATAAAATGTAGCGTTGAAAGGGTAAGTATCAGGCTGGAAGGAGTTTACCAGAGGAGTTCTGAAAGGATCAG